AGACCAAGAATACAGGATGGCTAAATTCTCCTGAATTGCCCATCTCCAGAACTTAACAAGTTAAATATATAGATTTATTAACAAATAGGATGACCCATGTGGTGGTTTAACGTTATCCAGAGAGTTGAAAGCAGTGTTTTTTCTTCATGAAGTAACATCAAAGTGCCATGTTTCATTACCATAGCAGTCTATTCCATTGACAGATATTAGCAGGAATCTGACAAAATTGCAGGTTGCTTTCATAAAACTGTAATTACTCTGTAATTAGTGTATACTATATAAAGCAAGGTTAGCATTGTGTGGAGGCCATCAATCAAGAGGTGAACAGGAGCAGGCCACACGAGTGAGGTGAACTGTGAAGTGCTTATACTGGATAAGAGTTGAGGAAAATATTCTATGTATACTGCATTTGATTTTTGTTGACAGTCATTACAAATAAATAACATTGATAATGACTCACACTGTGTTAAAAACAAGGACAATAATTTCCTATATTGGCTGAGATATCTATTTCCTTCCCTCTTGTGAAGCACCTGTATGTATGATCTCTGCCCCAAATTAAGCTCTTGGTTAAATATTCTCATAAGTCGCAACATTTATAAACATTTATAAACACTTTGGCACAATAATAACTAAAGTTATAAGATTAATTTCAAGGGAAAAGAAAACATTGATTTGCAAATAGGTCAAGCAATCGCTTCTAAAATAATGTTAATTATTTCTGTTAAATAAAGTCCTGAAATCTAATATGGAATTGGTGGCTGTCTTGTAAGATAGCCTGTGAATGATTGTTTATTTAGACTGGAGATGATTCCGGTGTAGATGACACTCCCAGAATGCGCATGGAGCTCTGTCTATTGCCTTTCTACTTTTCAGCTGCACAGGCAAAAGTTGTAAAATGGGATCATTCTCATAGTTTGAGCTGTTTTGTCATCTAGGCTCAGCCAAGATCAATAGCTCTCTGAGACACTCAGTCAGGCACCACTGTTGACACCCTTGACAGTCCCCCTGTCTGCTCATATTGACCCTGCTGTAGTCGCTCACAGCCATCTGCCTCTTCTACGTCTGTTCTGAGTTCTCTGAATTCATAACCTGTTCTGTTGAGTGAAGGGGATTTATTTTTCATTTTTGACTACTTCAGAGTCTTTTTTGAGTTGTGCTGCTGAAATCAGCATATCCAGTCTGGTAGTAGGTTGTAACATTAATTACTCTTGTCCTGTCCAACTTGTTTTGAAGGGAATTTTGGTATGAATATAATACAGATCAGTGTCTGGACTTCCAACGATTGTGCTTTTGTTTATATGCTTTCGTTTATCTTGTATTGGGAAATATTTCCCATTAACCCAATGCTCGAGAGAAAGCCTTGAGGCTTATGTGAATGGGAACTATTTTTCTGTCTTTCTCCCTTTAGTTTATTGACATAATTCCCTTGCTAAGGCCCACATCCTTGAAGATCTATCCTTAAAAGCCTCCAGACATACCACACTGTTTTAGCTATCCTTTGGATCTTTTTGACTCCTTACAGAGGTTTCTTTTGCATGCAGTTTTGGGACTGGGTTGTGTCTCTTCCTTATGGGAAACATACAGCAACATGTATACGGTGCTGTGAAAAGGTTTGTCACACTAATTAATGGAAATACAGTTTCCTACCATGATACCCTTGTTTACCTGGACCTGGTGTTTTCTTAAATAATCAAAAGGGCTTTTAATTATCATTTTGATGTTTTTGAGATGCTATGGTGTATAATATAGAAAAAAGTTCAAATTAAGAATCATTGTAAAATTTAAAATAATAAGTGAACCCCTAATTTATTTAGCATAATTTAGGGGGGTGTTTAGAAATAGGTGGTTATCTAATTGGGTGACAAGTAAACAAGGCCTGTCATGTCACGTCACAGTCAAGAGAGTTCAGAGAGTCCCACAAAAGACTAGTTGATGCTACAAAACTATTTCTAAACATAAGGTGGTCCATCCATTGCCTGTCAGACAGTTACTATTCAAGACCATGGTGACCCAGGAGCAGTTGTCCTGCTAAGAACACCCCAAGAGCAGCCCAAAAAACATCCAGGATGTCAAGAGAACCACGGAGGAATATCTGCGGAATAGTTTCTGCAGACACCATTGTTGCTCAGTAAAAAGAAGATTGCCCCATGTCTGAATTTCACCAAAGAGCGCTTGAATGATCCACAAGACTACTGGAAAATAATTTCTCTGGATAGATTTGTCCAACCACTGCTTCCAGCTATCAAGCATCATGGTACAAGTATCATAGTTTGGGCTGCTTTACTGCCCTGGGATCAAATCATCATGTTATTAATGTGGCACTAAATTCGCAAATTATGGAGGTGCATGTCAGGCCATCCATCAAAAAACTGAAACTGAGCCAAAAGAGGGTCATGCAGCAAGACGATGATCCAAAACACACAAGCAGATCTACAGCAGACTGTCCATAGAAAAAATGTATTGGCCATGTCAAAATCCATCCACCATTATACCCCATTGAAATGTTACAGCAGGACCTGAAGCAAGCTGTTCATGCATAGAAACCCTCAAATGTCACCAACTTGAAGCTGGAAGAAAGTACAGGTCAAATTCCCTGAAAGCCGATGTGAGAGACTGATAATTATGAATTGCATTAGGGTTGATAAAAAGGAATAAAGGTGTAATTTTCATTTCTAAATATAATCTAGTATAATATAATAAATATCATCAGTATGTGTGTGTTGTGGAGAGAGAGTACTTTAAAAAATCTTCAAATATAAACCAGGATTAAATCATAAACACTTTTGCTGTGTCATAAGAGAGAAATCAATAATCACTGAAAAACACTATACAAGGTATAGTACTGTACATAAATGACCACAGATACAACAGGCTTTAGCTGGAATAAAATGGATGCTTGATTTGGAAGGGATCTGGGATCATCTTGTTAGTTTCCAAGGAGAAACTTCTCATACAGAAACTGAAGAGAATAATGCTTTTTAGTTTCTGCTAAAATGACTGATAGTGCTATCACTTTCAGCAATCTTGTTATCTACAAGGTCCACATACATCCGATGAAATGAATAATTTAAAATTTCCCTGACTGTGCACTGCTAAAAAGTTCCATACTGTGTTTTTTCTCAGTAGAGTAGACGGTCTCTTGATTGGTGAGCCATGTGCCATGTGCAGTATAAATGTGCCTATACATCATGTCCTATAAGGTAGTGTAATTAAATTAACAGTTCATTGCAAATCATAGAGATTAAGTCTATAAGAAGTGCCAGCCGTTCTCTGCAAATGAGAGTTTCACCTTTCCAGTTATGAAACATCATTTCCTTTAGCAAATTAGCCATGTAAGCAAATTTGTGCTCTTTATTGAGGGCGACAATCACTATTAAGCAACTTAAACTGCTGTCTGATGTAGTGAAGTTAGATGCAGCCTGCCATGGCAACAGCTGAGCTACCGTGGCGACGCCTGACTTGGGGAATCTATTTAAAGAGACACAAGGCTGGCACTGTGTTATCAGGATGGCACTGATCCCCTTGCACAATGGTAACTAAACCTGAAGTGTTGTACAGAGAATCTGTCATGATGTATTATTATTATTATTCCTTACACTTATTATGCACTTTCCTGGTCAGATATCAGTGGGGAAGAACTATAGGAAGAACACAGAATTTTAAAGAAGAGATAGAGTATATAGGAGAATTTAATCTTCTCTAATTATGCTCTCTTTTGCCTTTATCATGGAGCTGCAAACCTGAAGTTCCAGAGATCTTGCTAGGTATTACAATGGGCATGATGCACTCTTGCCTAATGAGCAAGAGTGTCTCAGGTCTCTGTACTCTACAATGTCATTTTTCTGAACCCCACTCTAATTACACTGCAGTGATGCTGGGCCCAATGGCACCATTCCATCCAGAGCCAGCTGCCTCTCTCCCTGTAAATCACACAGCATTGCAGATGTTTCCTGCAGCGCAAGGCTACCGGTAGTCATACAGCTGCTGCAGTGTCAGTGTCTAAGCACAGAGGGGCGAATGACTGTTCAGAATTGTATTCATGTTTTTTTTATTGTGCATGATCATGAGGCACATCTCTGTTCTTGAGTGCAGTATTAATACCCCCCTTTCCCTAAGTCCTGATCTGAATTTTTTGAGTCTAGGCTAAAGTAATCCCAGATAAAAGTCACCCTGCAGGGCAGAGGAGCTGGTATCTGCACAAGCAGATGCCCTACCTAAGGCAAGTCTTATATGTATAAGGATTGCATAGGATTTATAATGGATGCTGGAAATCCACTTGACGTTATACAGAGAGGCACTTCAGCAATAAACAACCTGCTCTTCTGTCATATTCATGTGGATTTTGGTTTGTAAAATGGAATACAAAACACTGATAGACAGGAAAACTTCAATTATATATGAATTTAGTTTTTATAAATGTCATTACATTTTGCATACTGTGCATAAAATTTTAATTTTACTTTATAGCTAAAGAGATCATGATGCCCTAGGTGTTAAAATGGCAAGAACCACAGGAAAGAACCAGAAGAAAGAAAATACACTCTGCCAGTAGATATTTTAATATTTATTGGACTGTCTACAGCCTAAATAGAACGTTAAGAGAGAAAAATGTCCCCTGTCATATTTAAACTTAAGAAGATAGAATCTAAAACTGTACTTTTCCACTTTAAATTTTCTACTGTTCATAATGAGGGATTGTTTGAAGTCAGGAATGAGGTCATTCTCCTTCATTATAAATGGTGATATGCACCAAGACCTTCCTTATGAATTTTAGCATTGTGAATGTGCACAGTCTTCTTGCAGTTTTGCTATTCTTTGACCATGACTATACAATACCAAGCCTACACTTTGCTACGGTGAGCCTTCACCACATCACTCTGCTTCATCATTTCACTGTGCTTTTTCCAACATGGGGAAGTGGAAACACAGGAACCTTTTGTAGGATCTGTTCTAGCAATGAAGGTGTCAGGGAGTGACCCCTTTCCTCTGACTCACAGCTTGCTGTTCACCAAAGTGAAGCTGGAGGAGGTGCTGCTAGGACCAGAGGTGGCGCTGGAGACCTGTCAGCACATGCTGCGCCTGTGGCAGAACTCTTTCGAAAGCACGTGCAACAGGTAAAGGGTCTCGGGCAGCTCTTGGGTGGGATAGAGGGGTGTGTCTGCCAGGTGTGTTTGTGTGCGTGTGTGTGTTTATGTTGGAGAGTACTTTTGTTGAGCAGAATGGTTTGGGGTGTCCATCTGTGAATGTATGTATACAGTGCGTGTAATGCTGTTTGAACTTGACAGTGGCTTTGGGATCCTAACCTGACATTAATAAATGTTCCATACTTGGGTTATTAGGGCACAGGCTAAGAACAGAAAAGCCAGAAGATAAAATGGTAACTAGGCTGTAGTCTCCTGCACAGGCTGGCTAAAACAAGATCAAGGTCATATAGAGATGTACTGTACTATGTGAAATAGAAAACCTCCAAAAAGGCATCTGATTTCTCTTCCTCCTTTCCTTTTGTTATTGTTAGTAAACTATTTGCTACGTATTATTTGTGCTTATTTACTAGCTCTCAGAATAATGATGATGCAGCAAAATATTCATTATCTTCAAAATCAAGCATTGTCATGATGTTAGTATGAGTTTCTCTTAAAGAGAAACACTCTGAGCGGCAACCCTCCTAAAAGCAATTTAATCTTCTTTTAGTGGGTTATTATCACAAATAGACTGTTGCTGGTTATGTTCTGACATGAACTGGTTTCTGCTTTATATAATACTTTTTTGTGAAAATATGAATGAAAACTTGCTGCCTGAAGAGACAGAGACAGAGCTACCTTCTGACAGAGTGGAGAATACTTGTTTTCCTGAAGATTGCAGCGCAGTGTTGAGTGTGGTGCCGACGATGATGATGGCTGCCGTTGTCTGTATTACAGTGAAGCAGATGAGGGCAGCAGTGTCCCAGAGCTCGTGCCCCCCAGCAGGGCAACTAGCGCGCTTCATCTCGCCCTGCCAGACTTCCAGGACCCAGAGACTGGTGAGCCTGTGGTTCCCTGCTACTGCCAACACCATCTGACTACACACTAGCAGTGCAGACTTTCAGGGATATGTCAGCCCATTTTCTGTCCTATTCAGGGTTTTACTTTTCTTGTGTTCTTTAAGTATGGGTGATTATTTTACCTACCATGACATTGGTAATATAAAGCTAACCTCAAATGTTATAGAAATAAGCAGATCTGCTGAGGTGACAATACAAAATACTCTACAGTATATATAACAACTCAGAAGTTGGCACTACTTCTTCACAGATCTGTGGCAGTGTGTCCTGATAAATCTTATAGATCTGAATTGATCTGGTCCAAATAAGACTCTGAAAGTATGTCCTAACTCTATGTGTCCATGACACTTTAGCCCTGTGTAGTATAGCAGAAGTTGTACGGGTTAGAGTTTCAAGAGCATAGGCAGTCCAGTCCTAGTCTGTGGGAGTGAGTCTGCTGTAATGTGACATCATGCAAGGAATGTGGACCCAGGCTGTCAGCCTTCACCCCCCCAGGATCCCCAGCCCCCACCCCGAACTCTCCAGAACGTTTCTAACATTCCCCAACAGCTGCGCTGCCAGGCTTGGGCATTTTTAGCCGTTGCCTCTAGTGTTATCAGATTGGCAGGATGATAAAGCATTAAACTCGTGACATTTCAGAACCCTGACCCAGTTGCATCCTCACAGCCTCACAGCTTCTTCTTTAAATCATCCCCAGCCGCCCCTCTTTTCGACGTCCCCATTCAGGGTCACTTGTTACATTGCAGCTGCACCGAAACTCGCACACAATCTCAAGAATTGCCGTGTGCCTTGCTGCTCCCTGAGAGATCTGGACAACTGTGGGTTAGATGTGTCAAGTGCAAGCCCACCCCCATGGCCATATGTTTGGGAGACTAATGTAGTAGCCTCATTTTTGTAAAGGTTTTAAATCATTCTGGCCATTTCCAAAGATCTACAGGGGTGTGTGGTTCAGCAGGAATGCCCATTGAAGGCTGTATATTCCGGGATCTGTGCTAATGGTCATTGGAATGTTTGACAAAAAATTCGTTATGGCATTGTGTTGCATAACTCACTGGATCTTTCCCAACCCTCCATTTAAATTGTCCTATTTCCGTAGAAAAATGGTCTGTTAAGTTTAGAGTAGAATACCTCTGTACAGATATACACTGCTGAACCATGAGCTGTGCTGGGAGGGAAACCAGTACAATTGTGCTGTAACAGGATTATTCCCATTAAGACAGACTCATTGCGCTGGTGTATATTACAGATCAAGGTTTTGTTACCTTATGGTCTGCACAGCTTTACTTCCATTCTAATTAAGAGCTGATCAGAACAGTTGTTCGAGTGTGATCAGTCTCTATATTTACATCTCAAAAATCAGGAGTTGTGGCGGTACAAGTAACACTGGAAATGAAACATGTTGTTTCAGACACCTATATTTAAAATTTGTTTTCTTGAGTGTTATTGTGGTGCTCTTTTTCTTGATTGTGGCTGGTTGCTAGGCAATACGGAAAGTTCAGCAGAAGGAAAGAATTAAAGAAAACGTATCCATATAAGCAATCTGGGAAACTAACACGTGCAGAATGTTGGTAATAATGGAAATGTTAACTGTAGTTACTGTATATTTGAAGTGAATTCTGAACTGGTTAGTACATTAATTTGGGACAACCTGTTATTAATAAATGCATCTTCACACAACAATCCATGCACTGTATGAGGAAAGTAAGCACCTGTGTATGTTAGAGACATTAATTGTGTTTTGTACTGCAAGCTCCACAGTGTCAAACAGGAGAGCATGCAGATAATGGAGAAGTGGCACATCTCTCCCTGTGTTGGCACAGCAGGTTGCCTGCTTCTGACAGGTCCCTGGAGCTGCTGTTGGCCAGCTAGCGAAAACCCCTGTGGCACACCAACAGCTGTGCGCCACAGTTTGGGGAATCCTGGTCAAGATTGTGTTTTTAAAGAATTCGTACAATTCTTTCAAGCAACAAATGATGTTTTTTTTTGCTAGCTTATTTACAGATGCCATGTTGTCATCATGGTCGAAAAGATCTCACAGTTCAGAGTATTAGTTTCCAACCTTTTCTGTTTTGTAACACAATAAAGCAGGAATAATGCTGAGAAACCATGAATGTAGTGAAGCTTTGGGTAGTCTGTTAATGCATGATACAGTGGGAAAACCACATCAAAGCATAGAAAAAAATGTTACGATAAGAATGGTTTAAGCAGTGGGCTAACAATTGTAAGTTCTATGAAAGGACAAGAGATTTCTTCACTGAGCCTGGACTTGCTTTCCAAAGGGGTGAAATACACAGAAAATAATCACAGAAATCCTGTCTTCTGCATGACTTTGCCTTTCCTTGGCCTGGGTCCATAACTCACAGCAGCTCTGTTAGCACCCAGGCCTCTCACTGAATGTGCAAGGCTGCTATCACTAACTGCAGATACTTGTCCTGGAATTACCACCTGCTAAGATGAAACTCAGCCTCAAGGTCTCTTGGCTTTCAAACCTGTGTAGAGATCACGCCAGGGCACACAGCACTCAAAACTGGCTTTAAATACTTGTTCACTCAGAACTTTTCCAAACAGAGAGCATGTGTTTTATTATTTCTCTCGTGCCTTGTGATGGACGCTTTATTCGATGTGAAGCGAGATCAGGTTCTGAAAAAAAATAATAAACCCTTGTATGAACCAAATCTGGGCAGAGGCCTTGTCTACTATTCCAAACTGAAGACAAAATAATATTTTTGGAAAAGAAATTTCTTCACATTTTTGCTTGGCCCCATTGGTTTGGAAACAAGGTAACTGCTGCCAAGTCTGTCTTGCCACCCCTGCCACCCTCTTACTGCCTTGGGAGATCATGTGAGTTTGCATGGGTGTTTGTGATAACAGGAATTCAGGTCACAAGTACAAGAGCAGTCAGGGGAAGAGAGACTGTTTTAGATTCCCTTCCCTCCCATTCTGCAGAGGCCTCCCGTGCCTTCTGAGTTTGGAAGTGGCCCTGTGTGCTTGGTGTGCTGCCGTGTCCCAGTGCGGAGAGATTAACTGCAGCTCTCTGTCTGTGCAGGGTCCCAGCGCGCGCCGTCCATCGCCGCCTCCCGCCTGGAGCAGGCCATGTCGGAGATGTCCGTCCCCAGCTCCTCACAGAAACAGGGTCCTGCCCAAGTCTGGACCACTCTGGAGCACATCTGGCTACAGGCTGGTATGTGTCCATTACAGAAGGACAGCAATGAACTGCCCATATATTTCATGTAGAAACTGATTTGTGTAAATCAACATCTAGAGTATACCTGTTTTGATTTATATATATATATTCTTAAGTACTGTAGGTGTCCATTGTACTAACAGTTCTACTGGGTTCAATCCTTTGTTATGTCTAATTTATCAACCTGCATGACCAGCTTGGTGATTCCATTGCCCTGCGGTGGAATTGAAAATATAGCTCTCCAAAGTAAGCTTTATAGGTCATGTGCAGTACAGTGGCTTCTTTCACAAAGGCTGGCTGTAAATCTTTATCCTTGAAGAAGAGTATTTATAACCTGTTCTTGTGTCTGTGGCAAAATTGCATGTTTCTGTGAAATATTCTATATCTTGAATTTTGTCGGGATTTCTGTGTGTATCACTGGATCTCAGTCAGTTCCTTGTGACCTTTTACTTGACTTTCCCAGCCTTGGATTTGTAGTTCATTTGTCTTACAGTGACCAAGCAAGTGCTCAGGTCTTTATTTACTAGTCATCTTGCAGCACTTGAAATGTGACTAACTCACATGCTGGATAGGAATCAGTCATTTGGGTATGTTATGTAACGTACTAAGCAGGAGTCATAAGACGATAAGGGTGCGGGGTGCTGCAGTGAAAGCGATCCTGTGAATTGTGACACATTAATACTCACAATAACAAACGCGGTGAGATGGTGATACAGATTAAGCTGCTAGAATTCGCCTCTCACCTCCACAAAACCACTGTCCTTATCTGTCTCGGGTTACAAGTCACATTGCCTTCCACATCAAATAAAATGAAAAAGAAGAAGACACCAAGAAGCACAGAAGTCAGTGTGTATCTGAGGGAGGAAAACTGAGGTATTGTGAGAATCGCTACCAGCAAAAGCTTTTTTGGCCATAGCCAGTGTCATTGTTCCATGTGACCTTTCTCACGACAGCCTGTATGCAGACATAAAGTGAATTGCAATAAGAAACATAAAACTCCCAAACTGAGCATGTGTCTTTGCAGCTGCTGGCTCTTCCTCAGGTCATTTAGGATGACAGGATGATAGGTTTATGGGCAGTAAAAAGGGATCTTGGCACGGATTGGGTGAGAGTCAGAAGGAGTCAGTGGAATCCCAGGAGAATCGGAACTTCTTTTCAAAGCCGAACTGTATCCATCACGTGTCCTTCACCCAGACCGGTGACCTGTACTGCCCCCTGTTGCTCTTTTACATCAGAGTAGCACTCATCACCACTCCTTACACAGCCAATCACATGGGCTTATTCCACAGCATTCCACTGTAATTGCCTTCTTCCTGTCCCAGGAAGTCACATCAGAAACCAGTACACAGCATGCTCCCTGTTTACCAAGAGGTAATCTGAATTACTGAATGTGGTCCATATAAAAAATTTAAACAGTACGCACCAACTTGTAGCTTGCTAAGTCCCCAGTGAGACAACCACAAGAAAATGGAATCATCTATTTTAAATGTCGGAAACAGCTATACAACAAATCCTGCGGTCTTGCTTTGAAGACATTTTGTGTGCACCCTTGCTTTCCTCTTAAAAAAACACTTTCTTTCAGAGGAATGTAATGAATACACATTGCATTGCATGCCTATCACACAGGTCCTGGAATGGTTGCTGACTGCTCCAGCCAAGACGTGCTGTGTGAAGAGGGCTGTGCTGCTGACTGTACTGTCCTCTCTGTCCGCTGTCATTGGCAGAAGGACTAGGCTGCTGGGGAGAACTCCTGAACCCAGCCCAGGGCATTGCCTTGGCAGACAGCTGGTCTTAGGAATGCCCTTATTTAGTAAAGAGTGTGATTAGTTCAGAGGCATAGCCTACTACAAGCTATGAGTCCTGGTGAGTGTGCATATGAATTAGGCATTTTGAGGGTGTGTGTGTGTTTTATTAGCCAGAGGATAGCCAGAGGTTTATTTTGTGTGAGGTGTTTGTCCTTGACATTTTCTTTCTGGACTAAAGTGTATTATGCCTATGGTCCAAACATTTCAGCAGAAGGCCAGTCCTGCATAAGGTATATTTCCAGTGTGGACTAAGGTGTAATCATTGTGGCTTTATTTTTCCAAACTATAACATTTTTGTGAGGTATTACACGCCAGTATAAGCCTTCTGAGAGTTTATTTGTCCCATACCCACAAGAATCACAACTCATTTCATAGAATTAACTATAACTGACAATGTACTTATCTCTGGGAGGATACCAGATACACAAGTTACACAACTGCATACAGTCCTAGAGTGAAATTATCCCTTTGATTATTAAGTTTCTCACTTTTGGGGAGATCCGTTTGTTTTTCAGTGTGAAATAACTCATATTCTTCGGGTGTTCTCGTAGCTTGTCCTTCACTGCACAAATATCACATCCTTCCTTCAGCTTGACTGCAAAGAGGAGTAAAGGAAATCCATTCTTTAATACCAAAACTGTGTACCAGCGGAGAATATGGAGCAGCCAAGCCTTCCTGTCGCTGGATTGAATCTGTCACCTTGGCTTTTCTCTTTTCTCCCAGCAGAAAAGGGTCAAATTTTGACCAGCAATCTGGTGCTACCACATGGCTTTTTTCTGAATATTTCTTGACTCTTTGTTGGATCTGTTCACTGTATCTTATCTTGTTTTACTGGCATGGTTAGACCAGACTTGGCAGAAGATAAAAAGTTTAGCAGCATGTCAGCATTTATTTTTGGTGTACTGGTGACTTTAAAAAAATGTAAAAAGTTGAATTTGTGGGTTAGTTTTTATGTGAATATGGATGTGTAGGATGACGGTGTACATATACTACTGTTGCACCAAAATGATAAAGAACAGATTTGTGTTGTAATATTAAAGTGCTACTTTACTGCTACATCCAATGTCCAACAAATTGAAAGAATGAAATGCAGTGTAGGACTCTGAATTGGCCTCTTATTATTTAGTCAGTGGAGTAGAAGAACATGAACTAATATGTGAGAAATTAATAAAAGCACGAGAAGAGGTAAAACCAAATTTTGTGTTCAGTACTCTAAGTAGAATATTGATAATTCAGAAGAATCAGAATGAATATTATTTTGAATATTGAGGAAACTGCATTCCTTTTTAAATGGAATCACTAGGACAAAATAAGAGCTAGGTCACAAAAAGCGATTTCAGAAGCCTGGTCTGGATCACTGACATGACATTCATGTCTCTCCACTACAAACAAAAATTAGAAGTATTTATAACATGACATACTTTAAAATTCAGGTTTTTTTCATACCGAGCATCTCACCTATTTTTACCTTTATCTCATTTCTTTCTTTTTTTTACTCTCGCTTGTTGGAAATCACTTTGCTACTGTAGTTGTTCTAGGGTAGTGTTTCCCTTTGTTGAGAACTGGGTGAAACTCTCGAACGTCTGGACTTTCACTGACCTGTCCTTGCAGGGGAGCTGTTCGTGGCGCAGGGCCGGGTGAAGGAAGCGTCGTTCTGCGTGCAGGAGGCCGGGACCCTGTACCCAGCCTCCTACAACGTGCTGCTGCTGCGCGGGAGGCTGGCAGAGCTGCAGGGCAACGCCGGCGAGGCCAAGACGTTGTACGACGAGGCCCTGACCATCCACCCTCAGGGAGCCCGCATCCTGCTGCACCTGGTGAGACCTGCTGCACCCCTGTGCAACCAGGCCTGCTATTGCATTGCAATTGGATCTGTTTCAGAGGTTAGGAAGTGCAGGTTTTCATTCAAAAAGTACCAAAACACCAGAAGCCCAATATCCAATATTATTTTATCTCCACATCTCTGACCTTATTCAGGTAGAGCAACAAACTTAAAGCATGCATCTCCTTTGTGGAATCTTAAAGTAACAGTCAGCCTAAAACCGGAAATGGATCACACTGCCATGCGATGAGAGGCTTGGTTTGCCTGACTTGTAACCAAGACAAATTAAATGGCTGTTTCTGATACAGTTCACAATTAGATCTCCTTTAAAGGTATTTCAGTTACATAAGGTCTGAGGGAAACAAGGCAAGTGATGCAAAAGGAATTGTATTGCATTTGCATCCCACACATTTCAACACTATTTCCCTTTACTGCAGTGCGGAACCTCACACTTCTGTACAGGGAAAGCATGTTTTTAAACTTACCCTTCACCTGGCTTGGCTTTGAGGTGATGGTACACACACACACACCTGCATTGAACCCATTTCTGCAGCAACGTTTTGATTAAAGCTTGACTGTGGAAACACTAAAAATGCTATGTTCTCAAAACAGTAGGTTTTCCAAAGCCAACGTTCTTTAATGCCATCGAGTGCCTGAAGAGGGTTATTGAAACTTTTCTTGTCACTTCATATGTGCTTCAGCAGAATGTCAACAGGGTATGGGGATGGGCGTGGGGCTGCTGTGGAAACAGTTTTTGAGCACTTAATCCTCTGTTACCATACCCCTTCCCTGTCCTCCAGAGAAAGTAGAGCAGTCTGCTTTCACCAGCTGACAGAGGCAACGGGGTGACAAGTGATGGGGTTGAAGTTATCAACTGTTGTCATGGAGATAAGCAGTGGCTTATCAAAATGTGTGGATAAACTCTGCTGAGAAAGGACCAGGCACTTACATTTTTATTCTTTTTTTTTCTTCACCATTAGATAAACAATGAGCTTTCCTTGTCTTCACCCACTAATCTGCTAAAGAATAGATCTCTCAGTAATAATACAAAGTTACAACTGACTCCCCTGCACTTCAGGTGCCTCTTTGCACAATCATAAGAAAATTTGCAAAATGAGAGAAAGAAACTGATACCTAATTGATCCTAGAATCTCAAAGTCGTTACCACAGACTTCTGGTACTGTAAGCTTCAAACACACAGCAAGGTAGTCCATTCCAGAGCAGAGCTTCACCCATGAAGAAGATAAAGAAGTGCATGACATGTTGATCAGATAAAGTGAATTTCTGTTTCCATCCTGGGATTTGTGTACCTCTTTACTTTAGTGGAGGTGAAAATTCTGTAGGTCAGATGTTACATGCTTTTGAAGTCTTGTTTTTTCTCCCTTTGACTCAGTACTTATTGAATCAGGAATAGACCTTGTGAAGTGTTAGGTTGCAAACTTCAGAAGCTTTGTCTAGAAGTGATGCATTCAGCTATAAATATGTGTTGGCAACTTCCGCAGTATAATTGTCATACTGAGACCTGGGGGAGGCTTTGATAATGGTTTTATCGGTTTCCACGTTGTTATGTTAAGCTCAACTGGGAGACTTACTGAGGGGCCAATGGAGAAGGACTACCAGAATCTTGAGTCATATAGGGTTTCTTTATCGTACTTCATTTCCTATCAGTGCATATGTAATCTGGTAATACTCCTGTCTAAACCTTGCTTCATAGAATGCAGCAGCAGAACTGTTATTGTCAGATGCCTTAATCGTCTGATTATATATATATAAAAGCAGCAAATTACTGCTCAGTCCAGGCACAGCTAGGCCTCTGTGTTTCTCTCATACAATCCACTGCAATTTCATAAACACTGCTTTACTTTTTATTTTTATGGTATTAAAACTGCATGCCACTCAAGATAAAGATAACAAAAAATACCATTACAAAGATGCCCAAATACAGTATGTGACTGCAACATATGTCTGTTGCAGCTGAAGGTTGGCAATTGACATTATTAGGAAGTCCTCCGGTTCCAGCAAATGAGGTAGACTGTGGAATTTGGCATTTACATTATGAAAGCAGAAAGGTCAAGGTACCATCATTTCTCATGGCAATGAATAGTATGTCAATAATAACAAATGCAGTCGTCCACAAACCAAATTTTCAAAAAATGTCACACAGTTTTTAACATTTTTATGTGGTGGTGTGTTAGGATTCACATTTATAATAATGTCATTTTATAGAGATTTTGTTTCTCTTTAAACATCTCACTTTGTCCCCTTAATGCCCTTTTGCTTTATTTCCCTGGAATCACAGTGAAGGCAATGTGTTCAGCTTTACTGGCAGTGCATCAACGTAGTGTTTGGCACAGTAGTAAGAGCCCATCTCTGCTGGCTAATCTAGATTCCAGGGGTCACTGGGCCATTTAAAACCCTGGGAAAGAGCTCAGCAAAGACTTCATAACTCTTGTGTGGTGCAAGTGCTTTGGTTGATTAGAAATGGAATCCTTATTTACAACTAACAAACATTCCTCCTGCTGTTTACCCACTTAATCTTGTTAAAGAGAGCTCTAATCCTATCAGATTACAGTGAACTACTGTCCAGCAGAATGGTTCTCTTCTTTTTTTATGGGGAACAATCCACTGAGACTGAATTAGGCAAACAGGCAAGGAGAGATCTCTATAATCCACTCATGTCCCACAGCTGAGTGGCAAAATTGAACAGGGTATGCCTGCTGCAAAATAATTAGCTGGGAACAATCCATAGTGCTGAGGAGAGAGGGAGAGTTTACTGATAAAAATGAGCCTGCCATCTAGAATGGGGGTGGACTCTAAAACTTGGACTGAATCCATGAGTTAGCAGACTGGTCGGTTAATGCTACAACTCACTGCCTCACACTGATGTTTGGAATTCTGTTAGCCTCTTGGGTAGACAGCTTTGCGTCACTCAAATCCTCCACATTCCAAAAGCAGCAGGACTTGCATTTATTTTATTTTTCAATCATATGTTCTCAGAATATGTCTCTTCTAAATGCTTAAGCAAAAGAGGTGGCTCAAGGAGCTGCCATGCTCGGTGTAGCTCAGGTTTCTAGTGAGGGAGTCTGTGTGTGTGCTACAACTCAGGGGAGATCCAGTGCCCCCAAAGTGCACTTTATTCCAAGAACAACCTTGAAAAAAAAAGGACATGGATTTAGATTTTTCTCAGTGTCAAAAAGGGAGAATGTCATTAAATAACGAAAAGACTGCCATCTGTTCTTCACTGAACAATCTGCAGAGGCCTCTCAGCAGCTGGGAAAATACCACAGCAGCAGTTTCTTTAGGGATGTTACTGAGCGCCTATTGCACATCTTGGAAAAGATTCCGGCTGGGTTTTTTTGAAGTCCCTTGTGAATACAGATTCAGATGTGGATACAGAAATTTGTGTCGCGTTTTTGTTAATCTACGGATATAGAAAAAAAAATGTCAATGCCCTTCATTTGAAACTATGTAATTAGCTAGCTTGTTTCATCATTTTTGCTTTGACATAATGCTTCTCTTCTCTAAGGAACTCAAATCGCTTTAGGAGAAGGATCCACTTCTTCCATCTCTGAAGAGAGCTCATCCGGACACCAGGGTTAACAGCCCTACTCTTACAATGGATCTTTCATAATCAAGAAGTCAGTACCCTGATTTAATGTCCATTCCAAAGGATGGCACCTCAGATAGCATAGTACCCCCTGTCATCACACAGGGGTATTGTTTTATCAGGGAATTCCAGTTCAAAAGACACTTAAAGCAGTAACCTGTTTTTCTTGGAGGCTTCCTATCACAGTGCTGACAAAACCCTTGCAGGCTTGTGATCTGAGATCTCCCAGGATCAGGCTAGGTGTATGTGTTTTAGTTTGATGTATATGTTTGTTCCACCTGGAGTTCCACATGGAGTAACTGACATAGATATTGGTTCCCTGTGTCTGAATTCATGTACCATGAATCTTCACTGTTCACCTTAAAATAAACTGAAAATATGACTATGGTTTAAAAGTACAGTTTAATTTTTTAAAAAAATATTTAAGCTGAGTTAAGTGGCGAATGTTCAGTTTTTCAACTGAAGCTTGCCAGCATTTTTTATTTGTGACTGCATGTATTAAAAAATACCAGTCTCATTGTACTTTTGTCATGTGAAATTAGACCAGAAAGAAAAGAGGGAGAATCCAGAGAATATCTTCAAGGGAGATACATGGAATGGATCCGAAAAGTGAATTCAAAGGAACCACAGTATTAAAGGAACATGAAATGAAGTGCTTATACTGTACTTAAATGCCAGGAGCATTAAGAACAAATCATTTGCATTTGTTCTTTGCTGAGGTGGTGAAAGAATTGGCTCTTGTTACTACTGTAGATCATATCTTCCAGTTACATCTGCTCTCTGCTGTTCTGCTTCAGAAATCAAAACTCTTCAGGTAGATTACCATCCAGCTGTACACATCCCTTTTCAAAAGGAAAAAATAAAATTTGCTTTACTTTGCTTGTAGTCTGCAACCTTGTTTTGTGCATTGAAATAAGTAAAGGACAAGAGAGAAGAACTGAACAGGATGTTAGAAGACTTGGAACTTAATTTAATTAACCAAATGAATAAAAAAAAATCTCACTGTCTCTTTAAGCCAGGAAACAAATGGAAAATAAATTAAAAAGACACTGCATGGCCCCCCAAAACAGATTATACCCTATTAGCTTTCATCACCCATGAAAGGAACACAAGTGGTTTCTCTGGCACTCCAGTATGCATAGTGTGCTTCATTCTGTAAGCAGAGCAGGGAGAGATCAATATTGTTCACCCAAGGTCTGTACCAGCTGTCTGTCTGAGGCTGGCTGATTTGTTGATCAAGGTGTGCATTCCTGATATTCTAAGGCTAACTCGTTCACCTATAAACGTACCTGCAAGACAGACGTTATCTCAATGGTATGTTTCTTCTTAATCTTTACAGGCACTTGGTGTGCTAATATTCAAGGTAGAAATAAATGGCCAGTAATGTTTTATTTATAAATGCCATCCATCTTTTAGAGGTCTACCAGAATTGTATTTTAAAAATCTACATTTTGTGGAGCGCCATAAGACTGGTTTATCTGGATCTGGGCTGTAATTGCTAAAATTAGGCAAGACATACATTAGCTTCTTTTAGCAGTTTTAGATGATTGTGTGATCTATACAGCTAAATTATATTTTTTTCTGCTCCAGTTGATCTTTAGAAGCTCGATGGACCAGAGGCATGGCAGTTAAGGCCGCAGCCTCACAGCACTTGGGTCTTGGGTTCGATTAAATGCTGGAACGCATTCCACATGGAGTTTGCATTTTCTTCTTGTGATCATGTGGGTTTTCTTCAGACATTCCTGTTTCTATCCGCCTTCCTATGACTTGCTGGCTAAGTTAACTAGAGTCTGTAATTGTCTCCATGTGTGTGTCTTGTGATGGTCAGGTGTCTTAATCTTATTTGAGATATAATCCTACCTTGTGCCCTCTATCTGCCAGGTTAGGCTCTGGCTTGTCAGCACCTTTTATTGGTTGAAACAGCTGTGGAAAATGATTGGATAGATGACTCTAAATCTCTTCTTAATGGGATTGTTTTAGTTTCTGTATATGTTTACTTTTTTATTTAGCAATCTGTTTCAATTTGTTGCATAATTCATAAAATGTTACTGTAAGGCAGGGAGTAGGATGACGACCCCTTTTCGAATAGGACAGCATATGCCTTTCTCAATGAGAGGGGCATCCACAGTAAAGTCATGCACCTTTTGCAAGTTATGTTTTTTTCAGTGAAATTGTTAAGATCCACACACAATATGTTATTGAATGCCGCTCTATCAAATCCTTGGCAGTAGATGAGCAACTGCTGTATAAGGCTTTTGGTACACAGAGTGCAGAAATCCTAATGATGATTCTCAGCAGCACACACCAAGAAGCCTTGGAAAGATTAAAATCATTAGAAAAAAATGTACAGCAGCTTTTTTAAGCAAGATTAAAAAATGACAAAATGGCAGAGATCCAAGGAGTGGGGAGCAAGCGGTGTCTAAGAATAGCTCCTTTGACATCAATGAGAGTAGGCGCAGATAATTCAAATAACTTGTAGTGTTATTCTGTGGATTTCCTGTATCTTAATTGGGTTCTGCTAGCAGGTTATGGAAGGAATTCTTTTATTGTTTAATTCATGATTAAATAATCAATATAAAGATTAAGGTGTTTGGGAGTATCAAAGGGATGGATGTAGTTTCTCTAGTTTAGTCTACCAAGATTCCCAATCTGGAGACATCTATTTCTTTGGCTTACTGCTCAAGAGGGCAGAACTAAGAGTTATTGATTGTTTTAAGACTGTTATTGAAAACAAGTTATTAACCTATTGATTACCAGTATGGCCTCTCTGCAGCAGTACCTCTCCAGCCAGTACCCTGGGGTCCTTTGGGATTTATAGTAGTTTTATGGCTCACCCTAAATCACCTACTGTATTGCTGAAGACTTGCAACACTTATAAATTGTTGATCAATTCTCTGGCTTTTTAGAGTTCCTTTTAAAATCCTGATATTTCCATGTTTTAGAAAAATATACAATCTTGGTTCTTAGATGAGGAGTCTGGTAAGTTTCAAAGTTGCTCAGCGCAGTGTACAGGTCGAACTGCACAAGCCCAACATTGCTGGTGTAGTTCAAACCCGGGTCATGTTACATGTAACTCGGATTTCTCCAGCAGTAGCTCACCATTGGCGTGTTACTGCCGTGGTGCGTCGCCTTGGATCTCCATCAATCAACTGCAGCAGCCATGTGCCAGGACCTTGCAGTGACATGAGTGAGAGCTCACGCTGCTGGTCTTTCTATTAGAGCTCACACTTCTGTCAGGTGCCCTGAAGATGGGTGTGTCAGAGGACACATTCATTCTCTCCCAGGCAGTGAGGAGTCACTGCCACCTCTCTTAAAACATTTTGAATTGTGTGGGTATATAATAAAAACAGATTATTAAGAAGAAAAAAGATATGATTCTTCCATTGACTATCAATATGAGAAACTGCAGAGGAAATAAAATTTTATTTAAAAAAAAACCTCCGTCCTGTGTCCTATACTTGAGTACCAACAGAGCAGAAGGTGCTCATTCACCCAGGGCCAAATAAGCATGCTCTGGTAGAAAACCAAGTAAATGTGTTCTGCTATTAAACAAATTCAGGTCCGTAAGAAAGAATGAGAGGTTCCTGTTTATTAACCATTGAGTGAGAGAATGAACCATGAAACATGACTATACTGTAGACCAAGGTTCACTCCTCTTATGCAACTCCAGATTTAAAGATGCATATTTAAAGAGACAAAGTTAAGTTTTTCTGCTTTTGCCATTGGTGTCAATTCATTGTATGTTAACAGGTTCAAAGTTCAAATATGCTGTTGGTTATACGTTGTATTCACGTCAAGTAGGTTTATCTAGTGTGTATCTGGCACAGCATTTGCTTGAACACAATCATTCAGACAGCACAGTTTAAACAATGGTGAAAATTTGTATTGCAAAAGTTTGGAATTTCAAATCTCCATGTATTTTTTTGTAACCTCCAAACATCCATTATTTGGAAAAGGTTTCAGTGTACTCTATGAAAAAAAACATTCGTCATCCTGTCAGAGTGAAAGTGAAAATGACAAAGAGGAGGTTTACCGATTGCTGGGTGGAAGCTCAGTGAATCAGCAGTCATTCTGCAGTTTGACAACTTTGGGTTTTTATATATTCCTGTTTTACTATAAATATACATCATGTTGTGCTTACCTTCCAATAATCATGGTTCACTTGTCACATTGTATTCAAAGGCCCTGACAGTCACTGTGTTCTAAATTACTGTCATTTGTTAAAATTTGTTTGGCAGAAATGTTAAATATAAGCATTGTGATAACACTTCACATTAAGTGTCCTCACAATCCATTTAATTAACATGTCAGAAGCAACAGATATTACTGGTAGGCTTTAACTCTTGTTAATTATTCCAGGTCCAAATTACCTTTTGAATAAGCCTGAGCATAAAACTCAATTGCTGTACAGAACAGTCAGCTATTAGGTTGTGTCAAAGGCTAATTGATAAGGTGGACATATCAACTTGCAGATAATGACTTTGTAATGAGTGCTAAGGTACAATTAAATGTCTCAAAGGATGCTTTCATAACAAAGCGCTTCTCTTTGCATCTGTAAAGCATTTTATCTAGAAGCTAGTATAAACGTACATGTAATTGTAGGATGTCAAAGCAAACTTCAACCCCTTGCAGACTTAATCTTTCACTTATTAGACAAGAACTTGAACAAGAAGTTGATTTCTCAAAGTCTCGTTTGTAGAGCACACCCTTTTCCTGCCTGGTGTCTCTATTTCAGTCGAAACCCTCAACCTTTTATTTTAATTTATAAATAGCACATCAGCCTTTTATTTTAATTTATACTTAGCACAGTAGATATGAGGGAATGTATTCGATTATTTTCTTTATTAGTCAGCAATACCCACTGTTTCCTAAATTTCCACTCATTTTCAGACTCTTTGTTTTTTTCCACTTCATTGGAAATGGAAATATCTTGGAATATTGATGTTTAACTTCCCAGTCTGTACTGTCTCATTCCTACCTTTACACCTGAGAAGTTCCACAAGATGTCATTTGCTTCTGTTTTCCTCCTCAGCTTCATTGCATTTGACAACACATTTGCTGGCTGCCTAATTGCAGATGCTTCTTAATTCTCACCGTGGACTGTACCTGGTAGTATCATTGCCTGTCCTGAGCCACCCATCTGGAAAATGCCTTACCACCACCCCTACATCTCATTCCTGCCCTTGTCACTTTGTTTTATTTTGTGCAGAAGCAGCCAAGTGGAAAAGTGTTCAGAGGCTCACAGGATGTTTTCAGAACTACACTGTCAGACGGGTGGATTTTGTACAGTTTAAATAAATGTAGTTGTTGCTTCTAGTTGAGAGCAGTCTTGCCACAATCCAATCGTTTTTGTTTAGACATGGAAAAGGATTATTTTAACAAATGAATCTGTCAAGATATGTAGTATGGTAACTGGGTGCATTTGGTCTTTGAGCCCAATCCAGTGATGAAATCACCTAGGAAGCTTGATAGCCTTGAATTCTTCCTTGACTGGATGCCTTTTGGCTTAGCAGTTACTTAGTTTTTTGCAGCCACTCCTGCATTAATTAAGGTATTTAGAGCATTGCACTAATCAAATCCATTTTGTTTTCTTTTTGAGAGAGTAGTCTCAAATCAACTTTTGTAAATACGGTATTCAGTGGATAGATGTTCTGAATGGTTTGCCAGTTCATTTGGCCTACAATACCTTGGAGCTTTGGCTGGTTTAAAATGCAACACCATGTGGAAAACTGCATCAGCATGAAAAACTGCATCATGATGACGGCACGCTGCGGGCAACATATCCAGGAACAGGAGTGAGATCACCAGAGGTGACTTCATCACTCATTAAACATTTAGAGGAAGAAGCACCAAGAGGGGGAGCAGTAGGATATTTTATAAACAGACAGTGTAGCACATAGGGCCTAATATGGGCCTCCAGCCATTCTTCAGTTGTGACTGGGCACCAATAGTAACGGGGAGGAATTTGTGTAATCCAGATGGAATCTGTCACTCCACCCTTAATGGGCCCGATCAGGGGATGTGTTGCATTCACTGCCTTACACTCTCTTTCACAGCAGGGTGTGGGTTGCAGGGTTCTCTGGCATTGGGTTTCTCTTCCAGTGACAATCTGTCTTGTCAGGGATATGGTTATTGCCTCACACTGTGGAAGTGCAGCGCAGACAAGCTGTAGTTATTGAAACATCATTGTTTTATGGTACATCTGATTGCATTGCTGTGAGCTGCAATTAGCAGCCCATGTGTGGAGTTTCTTCTCATGAAGTGCTGAACAGTACATCATTCTTCAAAATGTCACTGTGCTTGAAAGTGAAGACTTTAATGGTTGCTTCATGGATAACCTTACATCTATATTACAACTGCCTGAAAGCTCTGCTCAGCTTAGTTGTGCTGTATATCATGTTTTTTTTATCTTTTTAACTGTAGTTTGTCCTTAATTAGAGTCTTGCCAACATCGGTGCAGCAGGCCTACAGTATGTGTAGCTTAGTACAAGTAAAGTAAAGGTTAATTCCACACTGAAAAGTAGAAAGAAGAAACACATTTCAGCCGTCGAGCCTTCCTGAGGTGTCGGTGTCTTCGGAACTTTAACTTGTTCCTTTGCAGGCAACGCACGCTGACATTAAGCACTAATCAAATTTTAGTCTAAAATGCTTCAAGTATGTCTTACTAATCTCTCTAACAAATAACACGTAACATATACATTTACAAAGAGGACAGAGAATTTTACATAATTGTACTGATGTGGTTTTCAGTATACTGTATGTAAGGTCAGTATTGCCAGTTCATATGTCAATACATATGTCAGTACTGTATGTCAATGTATTGTACCTACAGAGAAAAAATACACTTTGTTGCATTAGGGTTAAGGTTAAATGCTGATGTTTTGCATTTAAACTTCCTACATTTAGATCCCAAGGGCAGAACATGCTTTACATTCTTCTCCAAACCTTTGCTCCTTGTAAGTCATCAGGTTTGTACTTCTTCACAAGGGACAACAATGACATAGACATAGAGTTTTCAGATACAGCTCTTTAAAATATTAAGCATGGGATTAAAGGATTATTCTTCATCCACGGCAGTGTGTTGTATTATCATAATTTTAATACTTTCATTACAATATGAGCATTACATTTGTCACAAGGTGTCTTATAAGTCATTAGCTGTTGAAGCAGCTGGTGAGTCCCTGAGCTTCGAACATTGCTGGCACTTTCTCTTTCCAGAGTCTTTGCGTTAATGAATGACCAAAGCCTTACTGCTTAGTATGGCTCCTCCTGAAGCAAAGAGCACAGCCCTGCCATGACAGTAGGTAAAAAGCAGCTCTCAGACTTCCTGTCTGCCATTACCTCAGCCTGTCTGTGGTGGAATATGCGATCTCTAGGGAGCAGTTTCATGCTATATTGATAGCTGCAGGCCTGGAAAAAATTTTCAACTGATTAGATAACACAAATACATTATTTATAATACTGTAGTACTTGTCTTCACATTTTGGGATTGCCTAGCAACCAGGAAAATGTATTCCATTGAGTAGGGATCGGTAGGAAAAATGCATTACATACAGTACATTATCACTTCATAGAGAACAGTGGGATGGGGGTGGGGTAGTGGAGTACAGTACTAAATTAATTGCTTTTTGAATGTGTGAGAGTGTTGTTAAAATACAATGTTTATCTATTGAAATGCTGAATCAAATATGAGTACATAAGGGTGTTATTTTGTTCTTTTTTCAATCTTCAGCGAGACCGAGGAAGGCCATGAGCTCTTTGAAATGTGCTGTATTGTAGTCAGCTGTCCTGTAAGAGTGCTCAGGGAGCAATACTGTATTCAGAGGCTACTTTTTAGCTGTTTCCAGCTGACAGAGGAGAACATTAATTCCAGAAAGGGTTGTGGGAGTATGGAACATACTACCACACAGTGTTGAAGCCACTACCCTATATTCTTTAAAGAACAGGATGAGATCCTAGGATCAATGAGATACAAGCAACCATACAGCCTAGATGGACCAAATAGTTTACTTTTATAACCCTTTCTTGTGTTCTTAAATGTCATTAGTGTTGATGCAGTCTTAGATCACTATTCTCTAACTAAAAGTAAATAATACTTAAATAATAATCCACTCCAAGTAAACAATATCACTATTATAAATATATGGGCAATGTGGCTATCAGCAGACCTTTTCACAAAATTATGCACAGCGTATATGACCTTGGTTATATTGCCAGATTTAGAGAATATTGCAATATCCTTCAATTGTGTAAGAAATAGTGGTGCACAGCTTGTCATCTTAAGTGCAATGTTTTTTTAAGATGGTTAATACATGTTTACAGGGGAGACTAAAGTGAATAGCTATTTAAATATTTATTTCCAAGCAGAAATCAGAGGCAGCTTTTAAGCTCTGTGGATGGCATGACTGAAGAGCAACCCAGGAAATCTAATTTCCTTAATAATTAGATTAGAGCAACCGAGGAGAGAATGATCTTCCTGAAGGCATTATCTCTGTGATCTGACTGTCATGGCACAGTGCACACAAAACTCTCCCAACGTAGTCTGCCCAGAACAATGTCATACCACCATCTTACTTTGTTTCCTATTCATCAGTAAAATTATTAAATGTCCACACATGTTCTTGGACAGACAGGTACTTTGCTTGTATAGTCATTACTACAGTAACAATTCTCATTTCACCCTACAAAGTACAGTATTTTTCAGCAAGAATACTGTTACATTTGAGGTATCATCTTAAAACTGGGATACTAGGTTAATGACTTTAGGGTGGAGGTCACTTGCTCTCTAGTCCTCTATGCTACAGAAACTAGGATGAGCTCAGGCTCGAGGAACCACTGTAGCTGTGATATGGACTCTCTTTTTACTACCTTTCTAAACTAAAATCTGATCAGTGCACAGAGTCATGCAGCATTTATTTTCTTATTTTTCACAATTCTGATTGCCAAGAGAACTAGTGTAGAGTGGTTGATGTATTCATCCTGTATTCCATTTGTATGTGGCCTTCACCCTGATCAATGAGTTTGAGCAAACTATACTCACAGGCGTCTTCTCTGTTCCTGAGGTTTTCAGCAGTTGTCTTGAACTTACATTGAATTCCCTAGCCGTAGAAGCTGGTAGAAACAAAGCCCAGTGATTGCACATATTTAGATTTGTGCTTAAAATGCGCAGGCAGCTGTGTGGTTGTAATAACAAGAAGAGGCAGAAAATTAATCAGCGCACAAGCAAGAGTATATGACTCCTGCAAGATAAAATCAATAAGCTTGCAGGAGCGGGTTAGATAAGGATAACCAATAACAGGTTCACAGGGGAATCTTGAAGAATCCTTTATTTAGCAGTGTAATAACAAAGACAGAATATTGATTGGGTTAATATGAACTATGAAGCTGGTCACTCTTTCACTCATAATAGTAACCTGGTATCTCAAACGGCAAAAGTTACAGTACTTACAAGGAGGCTAAAGCTTACTTTAAATACAATCTTAAAACATTTTTTCCTGATAATATTCAGAAAACTTAATCATTTACCAACCTTTACCTTAACATCTTGTTAGACCCTAGACCCCCCTAAATGCCTTTCCACACCAAATCTGAATTGAATGGACAGTCCAGAACATTATTCTTAATCCTTTAAAATCTTAAGTATAATAAGTGCTTAGTGATTACTGAACCCACTGTTACAGTAACTCAAATCTAGGATGCTTGATGTTAGTTTTAATCTACAATTAATTTTGAACTGGACAGAATTTTACTGAACAGCCTTTCCCGTCCAAATCTTTACTGTTTTGCTTCTTATGATAATATATATTAGGATTGGAGACAAGCAGTCAGGACTGCCCCAGAGACAAATCAGACTAGAGACAATAGTGAGGTGAATCCTCTTCCTTTATTCCCATGTGCACAATGGGAGTGCCATAAACCACAGAAGTCTCAAAGAACAGGAGCAAGTAGCTGACATTAAATAGACTTTCAGTGAGGGTGGCTATCTATTACCCACGTCTACTGTAACTTTCTATCCCTAATTGATTAATTAATTGCAGTGAGTGATTATCATTTAACTATCTCATCTCATACAATACCATTTTAGATGACATCAGATTACATCCCATTATACTTCTCCTTTAGTCTTCCTCGTCTTCATCAGAGGAATTTATGGCCATATAAGGAAGTTTATGGCAACCCTGGAATCAGGGATGATGACCGGGTGTCCCTTACTTGAACTGGTAATGTCCCTCTTTCGAGAGGTGTTATTGAGGCCAGTTTCTTTCAGCCTTGATCGGTATTATTTGATACAGCTGCCTCCATCAAGTCCAATTTATATCTTCCTGGTCAATTTAAGTAACATCTTCAAAACATTCTCGCAGGATTAGGTATAATGCAATGGGAGTATATCAGCTTTCATATAACTTTCATATAATTTGACGCTTAGGCAGGAGCAATATAAAAGTATATATGCTGAATATATTGTACTTCAGGATATAAAAGTGATATAATAATAGCAAAAATATCATCAGTAATCAATCAATAAATCAGTATTAATTAGTAAAGTACATGTGCAATGATTACAAACACTGGTCCTAGAAATGTCCTACATAACCCCAGTCCCTGCTGAGCTCTTACATGCTTTGTGGCCAACTAAACTTTACCTGTTAGAAATGATTTCGTTCTTTTAGAAAAAATACAGTACGTGGGTTTATAATCTCTCACTTGTGCCTCCTTTCGGCAGCAGTACTATAGCTCTAAGGGACCCTTAATAAAATCTGGGCCGGACTTCAATCCTCATTCTGCCTGCATTGATTACTCTTGCCTAAGGAGAATTACAGGCTGCAATGTACTGTATGCCTTTCTCTCATTATATGCAGTTGAATGTATGTTACAGTGGTAACAGGCTGGCCTATTAAACTGTCATCCTTTCCCTCCTTTCACAAAATGGCTCACTGACTGCTTTTGTGTGAACACCTTTATGAAAGAAAAAGGGAGAGGCTACGATGATCTTTTTTATGGAAAACGTTTTGTAAAAAAGGAAAAGCAATTAAAACTGTTGTCTGAATGGGCCGTGATTCAGCTGAGAAGACAGTGATGTTCTTTAAAGGTGGGCTCTGTGCACTGAGTGTGCCAAGAGGCAGGAGAAAAGATTTTGTGGCAGCAGAAGTGAAATTGGGCATGAAAGTTCCATCTGAAGTGTGTGGGTTTTTTTGAGCACTGGATGACATGAATGCAAAAATTTTGGCATGGAGCGTTAGTATCTCAACAGCAAAGTAAAACAGATGAAAAGTCCAGAGTAATTTTGCTTGACAGACCCACACGTTTCCTAACTTTCTTTTTTTCCCTTTAAGTTAAGGATGCATACAGTATGATAAAAACACGCAGGTGAAGTCATGACTTACCACTGTCTGCCATTCCGCTGTTAATCCTCCTGTACTGGGTGAAGCAGAGGTCAGTAGCTGTGCAAATAAACCTCAAGCAATTATCTTGCTCTGACTGTTCAGATCACATGCCAGTTCTGTGCTTGCTCTGTGTTTCCAAAACAGAATGGGTATGGTATATGCAACAGAGCAGGACAAAAAGGATTGGGGTGGGCAATGATCTATCCCAGAACACTGTGCAATCAGCTGGCATGCTGAAAATGGCACAAGGGGACCTATTTATTTTGTTATTCCTGGCAAACGTTGGTGAATAAAGACCCGTCAAGCATGCAGATATGATGTGCAGTATTCAATTATAGCTTGTTCTCACTTCACAGATGACTAATGGCTACACTCCATTTACCTGCCCACGTTATGAAGAGAGAGAGAAAGAGGGAGAAAGATATTGTGAGAGTGAGATCAGTGAATGTGGGGCTGACGTATGCTATTGTTTCTAATAATAGTGCTGTTTTTTCAGGTTCACTCTGTGAAGGAGAATGGGCACTTTAAAGCCTGCTGGGCGCTGTGTATCAATAAGTGGATTCAGGCATTCAGTTTCTTGTATGGCTGTTGACACCGGTCCGAACAGACTTGAAGTGATCAGGTTTGAATTACTCTTGAGTCTGTATGAAGCAGTGACATGACATGGCAGCTTGGGAAGCTGCTGTCATTGTCTCTGGCTTATGGGCAGCATTTAGAACATGGCATTGCTGTAGCTAAATATATTTTCCCTGTAGACAAAGTAATATATTGCCTTTAACTTTCATTTCTAACATGTTAGTCATACAGTACATGCAAGCAGGTTTATCATTAACCACTAAATCTAGCCTACTGTATATATCTTTTTACATTCAGTGAAACATTTTCCATCCTCATCTCAATAATACGCATAATGACTGTGTAACATAATACACCTATTGCTGTTTGTGTTTCTCTATTTAATTAGTAAATTATAATTTTGTGCAGTGCATTTCATCCAAGAGGATCCCATCACGCATGCTTCACATGTAGGAGGGGGTTGAAGGGACTCGCTTCATGCACCACTGTAGTGCAGCCCCCCACCTGGGTGATGTACAGTACGACAGCAGCCCCACCACAAAGGTGACCATGTGGAGAAGTGAGAAATCGTTACACAGGTCATGCCATACTCAACTGAACTCTAATTTAACATTGAGGATAGACATCTGGGTAACAGCTGAGAATAACAACTGTTTTTCTATGTAGTATGTCTTAGTTTGAGATACATTGTTTATGTGAATCAAAACACTTCCTGACAGAGGGCTGAATACTCTAAGACACACTCGGGCAGCTTCTCATTATTGAAGCATTATGTCACCATACTGACTCATAAGTATACAAATACACTTAAAATCTGCCTTTCCAGAGAATAAAAAATTGCTTTGTAATTCAACACATAATTAAGAGTCCTTTGTGAAGCAAATTAATTTATCTGTCAGTCATGCTTCTCACACAGCTTGCCTTCATTTGTCCCGGACAGATCTGTAGAAAACTGAGGAAAGATTCTGACATCCATGTCTGTCCCTTTCTAAACACTCTGGACAGGTCACGCTGCTACACTGTGAAGTGTGGAGCCTGTTGTGGCTTCACACAGTATAAGAGACTTTCCCTGACTTGGACACAGTGATCCATTTGAAGTTAAGCCCCTATTTCCATGGCTTCCCTGACCGGAGGAATCCAGACAAAGCATTCTTGCTCAAGAGTAATTCAGGAATATCTGCAAAGGGGATTAGAACCCATTAACTCAAGAGCCCCAGCTGTTGTTCTATGGTGCCTCAATTGCAGATGTTTTAAGGGCCTATTTCAAGCAGGGATTCGATATATTGGATTGCCTTAGAAGACCAGACTGGATGGCTGAGGTGTGTGTGGGGAAGATTGTTAATGGAACTGATCTGTAAAGGGCTGTGGTCTGGAAATCAGGAAAGGGTTTAACTCATTTTCACCAGGTCAGTTCATGGAGGTGTGCTCTCTAAGGATAGTTTTAGTAAATGATCGGGTTGCAAACATTTGAGGACTCCTCTCTGGGTAATTTTGTACACTTAAAAAGCAGAAACTAAGGACAGCATTGTGTGCTGATAGGCACAGCACCTCTATTGATTTCCAGAAATATTTCTATTGCTCCACGTGAAAAAAAAAAACATTTGTTAGCACAATGTGTGAAGTGGGTGGCTGGTACTAGCAATGCCAACATCTATATTTATTAGAGTACAACATAAAACGAGGCATTTGGCAGCCTTGTATGCATTATTGCATTGTAAAACAACATTTTAGCTACAGTTTCAAAGATCCTAAGGTGGTTAATCAGCTAAAAAAAAACACTCCGGTTGCGTCATCAATCTTTAAAGATGATTTCTCTGTGCAGGAAATGTAATAAGCTTCATGCTGCGCCCTAAGGGGGTCGACAGTGCCAGGAGAGGCAGCCATCCTTCTTTGTGCTTCATCGTGCCCTGGAGCACAGTTAACAGTGCTACTTCTGGATCCGCAAAATTTATAACTCTAATTTAGCGCTTGTATAAACCACCTCTTCTATCTGCATACGTGTTACTGAGGCTGAGAAAACAATGCTTATACAGAACAGCTGCTCGAACAGCATTAGTTAAAGAAATGCAGCTGCACTGATACATACAGGAAGGTAATTTTCCTAGTAGCACGCAGATCTCACAGTCCCCCTCTCTGCTCAAACCTTTTGCCAGAATCATCCTGGATTGTGTTCTGCTTGGGTTTTACTGAATTACACCCGTGCTTTTATTTGTGTGGTTTTTTGTATCAGAATGTTTTGAAAATTGAATTCAGCTTTCCTGTCCCACCATTCTTGGGTGTCTTGTGTGAGATCTTGGGTTAAATATCTTCTACCCTACAACAAAAGGGGGCACCGAGCTGGGGGGTGAAAGTGATACCTATAGACCCTAGGCTCACTCCACTTTTGCCAGGTGTGTTCAGAGGGATCTCTAGAAAGAAGCAGAATCACATTTATTAATGAAGAAAAGTTGACCAGAAAAACAGGAATTGTAAACCTTTAGTATTCCTCCATTTTTTGTATTATAGTGTGATTCTGTCTCTAAAGACTTTAGTAGGAAGGTCACAAAAATGTTCCTCTTTTGATTGCCAGCAGCGTGTGGATCCAAGCAATATACTAACTGTTTTTTAAAGAATATACTTAAGCAAGATAGATGGACATATTGTTCCATACTCTCTAAATCCTCCTGTTGTCAGTCCTACATTTAATTTCCGCATTGAGTCCTCAGGTATTTGTGTTTCTTTTGGTCCAATTGGTTCATTCTATTAATGCCTGATGACATGTTCAATTGAATTAAGTGTCTTTCTATTATTTTTCTTTGTGCACATTTATAGAGATTATTTTAATCTGACTGTATAAGAAGGCATTTATATAAATCCAAGAATCAGCCTTGGAGCCTGAATTTTAAATTGATTCCAGATATTTGTTTTTACATTCGACTTTTCTCACAGTGATACACAGGGAAATTAATGGTCCAGCAAGCTTTAATAACTCAGTGCCATGCAATTAACTTCAGTAATCACAACACAGCTGAGCAATTCGGGAATCACATTATATCTGATCAGCTTATCAGATCACTGAGGGAGAAGGTCACTCAGTAGATCAGCTATAAAGCCCCAGTTTATCTGGTCAGATTGGCAAGATGTTTGCCTTCATTCATTTTGTTTTCCACTTCCTAGTCAAGTTGTGCCAAAAGCGTATTTAATAGCAAATTCTCAGTCTTTTACGTGTAGAGTTGAGTCTTTTAATGAGTCTTTTATTAAAAATAATATTCATATATACAGCTTTGACCTAATATTCATAGCATTAATAGTATAACATCTTCACTCCTCTCTTTTCAATGCATACTAATTGTTAATCCCCATAACCTGGCTGTAAAGATCTAAAAAGGAAAACAAAATCTAAAAAAACTGCTCAGTGTGAAGCGTTATTTGCCAACAAAGGAAAGCATCCAGAGGTGTGGTTAGAAAACAAATCTAAATCATTCACATCCTCCTGGGCTCCACTAGCACGAAGAATAATACTAATATTCCTGCACACCGTAAAGTAATAAAGCAACAATAGCTCTGTTTTTCAAATCCCTTTTCTCTCTTTCTTATGAGTACACACACATTGAAGTGGAGAATAATAAGCAAGAGATAGTTAACTTTTTGAAAATCAAATAACACAAATGCACTCAAGGGGAAAGATCGCATATTTGGGACTATGTCAGAGCAAGGCAATGTTTCTGTAGGACTTTGTAGAGCAATTCTTTGCCAATATTTAGGTTTTAAAAAGAGCCTTTTGACTTTCACTATTTAATGAAAGTGCTGCTTTTAGTAAATTACCATTACTGCCAGCATTTACAGCTATAAATTCCAAACTGCTTTGGTCATTCTACTGAAGTGTTCACGTGTTGAAATTCTACATTACTTAAAGCTGATGGACAAATCAGGAACAAATACGAGTAGCAGAAGTGACTTGTTCTGAGTTGGCATCATCAGACACGCATTGAAAGGGCTTGGGTTTGTGTCAGAGGCTCCAGAGATGGGAGTGCAGTTTGTAATGCCCACAACAGGGCCGTAGAGAGCGGAACGAGTCTGCGAATCTGTTTTTGACAAGGTTAGCAAGAAAGATTAGCTCATGGTTTGTTCAGTTTTCCACCAGGCCGCATTCATTTTCGACCGTGTGTGTCCACTCCCTTTAGCCCTTTGGTGCCTGGCTCAGCAGGGGTGGGCACCTTTCCAAGCAACAGCAGACGTTTTTTTTTTTTAAAAAAAACAGCGGTTTTTCAGGCAGCATCCCAGGAGTGTGTTTGGGAGAGGGGGGTCCTTTTTTCTTTCCAGGGGTGCCCATCCTCCATGCAGCTTCGCCTTTCCGCAGGCCGATCTCATGACACATGAAGAAAACCCGGCTGCTTTCAAAGTTTTTTTCCACCGTCAACAACAGGCAAAACAAAAATGCAGACCACCCCCGTGTGCGCCAGCTCCCCCACGGGCAGTGATAATCAGTGCCATCAGAGGAGTGGGTCTTTGTGCAGATGGGTTGCTGTCCCCTGCGTTCCAGTGTGCTACTGGTTTTTTAACAAGAACTTAAGTAGATGCCTCCTGGTGCCAACTGTGGCCTGCAGTGAAAGTGAACTTTCTGATTTTGTTCTCTTAAACGTTACCTCAGTACCAGTGGATACATCAGCAGCAGGTTGGGGAGGGGGTGGAGAAGCTGCAGAGCTGGCTCTCGTCTCCATCAGGATTAATGGAGAGAGCTGTGCG